GGAATCTTTGCACCTAGAAAATCAAATATGGCTCCACTGGACTATAATCCCAGGTGTATTGAATCCACACAGTTCCTGCCAAGTTGATGGGGAAGGCTTGGCCTATCTGATTGTCCAGTCCTGGAACTGGGCACTCCAGCTGGAGCCTCATAAGACATGCATGAATGATGAAGCTGATCCTGTGCTTCTTCCATTCATTCATGACTTTGAACAAATCAGTACCTCGGCACTGTTGTTTCCTGCCTTCCTCTGAACCTGGCATAAAAACGACCCACTTCATGGGGTGGTCGCTTTGCAAAAGGGATGCAGCATGGATGAGCGATGTTTTAACCCCACAGCTAGTATGAATGCAGATCAGTGCAAGCACTTATGTGCCATCAACTTAGGCTCTGCTTGAATGTACATTAAATTTCTTTATTGGCCTGGCTTAGACTCTCTGAACAAGTTCAACAGGTTAGTTCTTCCAAAACGCTCATTAGTTTGCTCATCAGAGTGCTGTGTCCAAAAGTATACTTAAGAAAATGACTTACCTGAAAGACAAACTCCAATTCCCAGAGAATCAGATGTACATGCCTTGCGGTATTCACCCCCTTTCACTTTTCTACATTATATTTTGTTAAAACCTGAAATCGACAGGGATTGAATCAGCATTGCCCCCACTTGATGTTTACGATACTCAACACTGGAAAGGTGCAAAATAATTTTTACTATGACACCAAAACAACCGACCAACCAACACTAGCTTGGTTCTTGTTGGTTGGAGATACATGCCTAAAGTTCCAGTACAACTCAATGTTTTGGTTGCATTTGTGCCACAATAAAAATATTAGCATCTTCACAATTTGGAAGTAACTTGTGTAGAACAATGCCAATTTGATCCATTTCAATTCTGGAACAAAATATGGAAAAGTTTAAGGGGTAACAGTATTTGCAAGGCTATATGGGTCAAAGAAAGGCTATTGGAGGAACAACCGTGTCCTAAACGGACTTACCCAGAGGTACTCAGTGGCCCTGTTCACACCATCACAACTATGGTGTATTGAAGCCACTGAGGCTTGCAAAAATGCCAGCAGCCGTTCTGAGTATTACACCTGGCAGGTTTGTCATCTGAACCCAGTCAGCAGGGGCTGTTGGGAGGGGGAAGGAACCTTTAAATAACCCATATAGTTCAGACAATATGGCAAACATGGGAACATCTTATTGGGGGTTGATTATTCAAAATTACCACTGGGAACATGCCTCAATCTACCCCAGTTTATGTAAGCCAGTGGAGAGCTACAGAGACTGTGCCATTATTTAGAGACTGACTTGCCACTGAGAACACCTTGCATGGTGTTGCCAAAAGGGCCGGTCTAGTTTCTGCTCAGCCACCGGTGCACTGGGAAGACGTATCCCATCACACCTTCCATTAGCTTTCCTCTCACTCCAGGGTCCAGTCTGCAAGAATGGATAATCCTGGGTTATTCCAAGCCACCCAATTTGTTCTGCATACCATCCTGTATGTGCTGTTTTTTGGGAGGTGTGACAAACAGTAGGGCACACACAAGTAAATCTGAAATATGTTAGGCAATGATGGGAATGCTTGCATCCCCAGTCCAGATGTTGCAACCACAAGCTTCTGTTTAACCCTGTCAAAACTGTTCTGGTGCCACAGCTGTATGACTTCAAATAGAAGGTGGGGCTCTCATGACATTGCTCCTTCTACCAAATGAATAAACCTCTTCATGTAGAAACCTAGTTATGTCAGGGACAAGGCTTAACTACAGCCTGACTTGCTTGCTTGCTACTGGAGAGTGGGAAGGATTATCTTAAGAATTCAGTTGCGCTAGAAAAGCACCAGAACCTGTCCTGCTTGGCCAGAGGCACTCGGGAGAAGGGCAGTGTGCTCAAGGCTGTTGCAGTCAACTGCCAGCTGTGTGAACACGGTCCTTGCGCCTCAAGGCCTGGCATCTTCCACTGAGTCCTGTGACCCAGCTCCTGAAGACCAAAACCACTGCACTTTGCAGGTTAGCCTAACAGGTGATGGGAAAGACCCCCCCCCCCCCCAGTGCTACCACTAGTCAGTAAAGCTCAAGTCTGGCCCCCTCCTCATGCACCAGGAAGCCGTGCATCCATGCTCAAGAGATCTGTGGACAGCTGGTTTTCCATGTGCATGGAGTGCTGGACTGAATGGACCTTTGGTATGACGCAGCCTGGCTTTTCTTATCTTCTCATGGATTACAACCCCCATCAGCCCTAGACTATGCTTTGAATAATGGGGGATGTAGTCCAGGCCTTCTGCAAGGTGCAAAGATATGGAAGGCTGACAAGCAAGACCCAGCCAGATGGATCTGTGCTTTGTTTGCGGTTCAGACACAAGACTAAGTTGCAGAAATGATACCATTTGCAACCCCAAAACAAGCCATGGGTCATTTTCATAAGCAGTTGGTGGTTAGCACAGGTGAGTTCAGACAGCAGAAATAGCTGTAACTCAGCTCTCTTGAATAGGGGTTATCTTGTTAGCTGAACCGACACAGTAAGGTGGCTCTCTATGCACTCCCGTTACTGCTCAGGCTTTGATCATGTGATATACTTTCGTGAAAAGCTCTTCCATAACCACTGGTGGGGTGTTTCTTGGGGGCTACTGAAACATTTGACGAAAACCACCCCCACCCACTGCCCTGACAAATACTTACAAGCTATAGCTAATTACAATTTAGGGCAAATATTTTATTATTTATCTAGAAATGCAAAATAAAATCAATTCTCTTAAAAAAATGACAAAAAGGACATTTAAATAAAAACGACCAAAGGTTTGTGAAATGTTAGGGAACAAAAAAGTTTCAAGACAAGTATAAATTTCTGTCGTCACAACCACTGAGCATTATTTGTTGCACTTTTTTAAATTTTCTATAAAGATTTTTTATTAAAGATATTTACATATCATTAGACTGTGTAAATATATTTACAGCAGATCTGATGGCTACCTTTTTGTATCACAAGAGGGAAAAATGCTTTAAATACAAAAAAAAATGTAAAGGTTTCATCCCCAAGCATGAAGAGATCTCGGCCCACCAAGTTTTACAAGTGTTGAGGCATTTTTGAGGTTCTGGCCATCCCTACACCTGGTAAGACCAGAGTTGAGTAGCTGTCAAACATGCATTGCAAATGTTCTACTTCAGTCCCCAGTGCATTCTCTCCCCCAAAGCACTGAAACTGATGCAGTCTTTGTCTGGTGTTTATCCCAGTCTCTGTATACATCCCCCCCTGGCAAACGTTTTGACAACCTTTTAAAATGTCTAAGCAACGCAACAGTTCCTTAGCTGCTGAAGCTTGCTTTTGAGCTGTTCCTGTCGCCGCCTGAGCTGTTCCTTCTCCGCTAACAGTCTGTGTTCGTCGGACTGAATCGACAGAACGTATTCCGTGGCCTTCTTAAGGATGACGACTTTGGGGGCTTTCTCGTTGTTGGCTACCTCTGGGATCTGGTCCCGCAGCGCAAAAAAGCTCAGCTTTAGCTCATTCCGCCTCTGCCGTTCTAAGACGTTGTGTGTCCGCCTCTTGTCATTCTCTTCCGAGTCCGACGTGCGCGGACTCGAGCATTTGCGATTGTTGTTACTGATCTGTTTGAGGACCCGGCCACTGTCCAGCTTTGGTCTTTTGGCCAAGCTGTACTCGACCTTGGTTGAGGGATGGGCAGCGTAGTTGTGCTGATGGGTAGGGACGTGGCACCGCTTGAGAACCAGAGGACTGTGGGGGGGCTTGCTGTGCCCCCTTGGCGGATGGCTCTCCGACTCGGGTTTCTTTGCTGCAGGTTGCCTTTTCTCTACTGTGACAACATCAATCTCCTCCTCTTCCTCCTCCTGCTCCTCTTCCTCTTCTGGAAAAAAGAAAGCCAACACGGTTCAGAGTCATGCATCGTTCTAATGCAATTGGTTTTTGAAAGAGCGAAAGGGGAAAGAAAAACACACGGGTGCCTATTTGCTGTTGTGCAGGGGTGGCGTGATCTGAAAGCATATATCCAGCAACTTTGCACATTCCAGATGCTTTAGACTATAACTCCCAGAATTCCTGACCACTGGCCATGATGGCTGGGGCTGCTGGGAGTTCAAGTCCAAAATATCTGCAGGGCACTCGCCCGGGGAAGGCAAGCTTTGGGCGACGACTGAAAGTCGAACTTCTCATGAGGGAGGGAAGGCACAACCTGTTATGCAACCAAAGAAGATGGCTCTAAGGATGACTGCACATTTTCACAGCACATGACTCTTTCCCAGAGAGTTAAACTGAATCCTGGCTTCCAGATCTCAAAATGTTGAAATCAGAACATTGCACAACCCTCAAAGCAGTCTGACAGACCAAAAGAGCAGGCAGAAGAGTAAGCCCGCTCAGAGCTCTTAATCTTGTCTCCCTGTCCAGCTAGAAGGCTTGGCAGGACCACATCAAGACAGTGAGTGTCCCCAGTGCTACACCAGGGCATGCCCCCACTTTGATGTTTATCAAACCCGATACAGGTGGGGAAAGATTTGTGTGGTGGTGGAGATGCTGTGCACATGTGGATGGACAGACGCGAGTGCTTCAGGCAACAAAGAGCAGTGGAGTCACTGGGGCCACACCCAGGATCTTACACAAAATGCACGCCTGTATTCCAAGAAGCCTTTTAAGTTGCTCCTTCCCCACCCTGTTAAAATTCCCAGCAGGAAATTTGTTCCACCTATCCACTGTCCTGGAAGGTTATGGAGAACCTGTTGAAACCCAGTCTTGAGCGGTCTTTCAGAATATCTAAGAAATTTTCTTTTTTAAAAAGAAAACAACCTAGTTAATGTTTGCTCGTTTCACTGGGATCACTCAAGAGTCTCCCTCTCCCTTTCAGTGACACACACATGCTGTAAACATGCCAACCAGGTGACAGATTTGATTAAAGACTGGGTCAGCAGGTTTAAAATTCCCGCTCGAGACCTGCTCTGACCCCATTATGAAATATAAGAAGGAGTCTCCCTTTTTCCAAGAAATGTAATTCGTGGGAAACTCAGCAATGTGTGTTGCTAACGTGGCATTTAAAAAAAGAGGCAAGCACAAGCACACACACATATACTCAGAGGGAGGTACTGAGCTACTGAAATATTTGGGGTGGGTGGGAAACAGACACGCTTCTAAGCTTCAGGCCAGCCAGTGTATGGTGTATGGAAACATACGACATTCCTTTAGGATTTAGTTATCCCAAAGACTGCACAAAAATTGCAGTGTGACTGGACTCATTCACTGGGTCCTCTCAGAGAAAGGCCTGATAGATATTCCAAGACAAGTGGAGAGTCACAGCCTTCATCTATATGCTTCTTCACAGGCAAGCCCCATTGAGTTCAATGAGAAATCCCAGGAGAATATAGGACCTACAGCTGTTAAGTTTACAAATGGTTTTTCCTTCTGCCTCAGTTCATTAAATCTGCAGAGGAAGCAGTAAGTCCTTAGTTCTGGAAATGTCAACCACAACAATTTGAGGGGATTTCCGACTGCCTTAGTGTTGTAGTCAGCATAATGGGAACATTCATTCATTCACTCATTCACACTCCCCCTGCAAACAGGCAGGGCGGAGATGTTGAATGGCGTAAGACTTTTGTTACGCTTTGTCTTGCTGGAGAATGTTCTGTACTGGAGGTAGTAGTCAAAGCAGAGAATAGACCCCTTGAAAAGAATTCTTATTTCCATGGGTCTATTTTCCATAGGGCAAATATGAGACACTAAACTAGGAAAAGGGAAATATTGGGAAGCAGAAAAACTTCTTTGGAAGGTAAACATGGGCTGGCTCTAAGGAGAACTTTGACCTTACACGTACAGGAAAACAAACAAGGATCCGGCCTAGGTTAAGTCCCATTCATTTCAGTGGGTCTACTCAAAGTAACACATACTGGATCCAACTCTATAGATTTTTTGCTTGTAGATTCACCCTGCAAGCCCATGCAGGATTACACAGAAGTAAGTCCTGCAGTGTTCCTTACGGCTTATTTTCTTGCACAAGAAAATGGGTGTGTGTGCAAACCCAAATTCCAACCCACAGTAGGCCTGTGAACACTCAGTATGGTTGAGTTCAAAAGCTTCCCACTAGCTAAGCTGCCCAAGGTGTCCTTCCAAGCACCACTGCCATGCCCCACCTGGGGGCCGGCCGACTCCCCCACCCCACCCAACCCCGTGTGGCTAGACAGACTCCCCCAACTCCTGCCAACAGAGGCCTGCAGCCAAGAGGCTGTGAAGGTGGCAAGTCCGGTGATGCAGGGTTAACTCACCTGAGTCGCTGCTGCTGCTGCTGCTGGTGGCGGGTGGGGTGTCTTGCACAAGCAAGGAAGCCGGGCTGGGGTCAGTGGGAGTGACCTCGGCGGCTTTGGGGGACTTCTCCCCCAGTGAGTAAGGGAAGACGACAGACGGGTCGATGCAGTCGGCGGCAGCGGCGCCCAGGTCCTGCAGGTAGGTGCTGCTGGCGCAGGAGGGAGAGGCGGCGGCCGGCGTCTGAGGCGGCGGTGGCGGCGTCTGGAGGCTGCTGCCGCTGCTCCCACAGCGGGTGGAGGACGCTGCGAAGGTGTCATCGCGCCGGGCCGCCTGGTAGGAGGCCAGCTTCTCCGAGACCACTTTCTGCAGCTTGGCGGCGGCAGAGCCTCCGCTCCACATGCAGTCCTGGATGATGATCGACTTGACGAAGGCGTCGTCCTCTGGGTCGCAGATGAAGCTCTGGTTGACGACGTCGCTGCCCAGCAGCTCGGTCACCATCTCCAGCTGGTCAGCGCTGGAAGGGAAGGTGCTCGAGCGGCGGCTGGGGGACAGCGGCGGCGTGGGCAGCAGCTCGAATTTCTTCCAGATGTCTTCGGAGGGCGCGGGAGGCTGCGATTCGCAGCCACGGTGCTGCACGGACAGGTAGAAGTTCTCCTCCTCCTCCTCGTAGTAGAAATAAGGTTGGATCGAGTCATAGTCATAATCGTAAGTCCGGCTGGGGAAGTTTGGCACGGTGAGAGGCATGGTGATGGAGGGGGGCACGGAGGATGGTGCCTGGGGGGGAACGGGAGAAAAACCACCTCTGGTTAATCGCCAGCTGATGGAGCCCCCTTTCAGTGCATATATCCCCCTCCCTTCCAGGGACACCGCCCCAAATCCCATTCCAGAAGAGACCAATGCCGGTCCAACTATTAATCCGGAGTAACTACCTCGGTTCTGCAGGCAGGGTTTCGTACACATGAGCAGAGGGGAACTTGGGTCTGCCGGTTTTGCATGCGATGCAAGCGGGGGGAGGGGGGCTCGATCGAGAACCAGGGTTAGCTAATCCGCAGTAAGTAATGCGGAGTCACTCAACACAACAAAAGATACTGCCTCAAAGCTTAACGCGCGGCAGACTAAGCAGCTGGCAAAGGGCGGGGGAACGCTATGCCGGTCACTGACGCGCCCTCCCCCGTTGCTTGGGTAAGTACGCAGCCTACAATTGCAAGAGCAGGTCCGTAAAAAGTATTGTCGCAGACCGCTTGGCTGCCCGACCAGTTCTTAAGCAGCCTTCGGCGCAAGACGAGGGACCTTTCCCCCGTTGCCAATCCAACCTCCATTACCCCGTTTCAAAATAGGAGTATGTTTTCTCGAGGCGGCGTGTGGGGCCGAAGACAAGGGACCCTGACGAGCCCCGAATCGCACGGGAAAGCCGTCCCGACGACCCGCTGAACACCTCCGAAGAGGATCCGTACCTAGCCTCACTCACTCCGCAGGGCGCCATCCTATCGCCCGGGCCAGAGTAAGCGGGGAGTAGCTGCACCTACCCCCGCCCTCCACTCCCAAAAGCCGCGATAACGACGCCAACCGGTTTAGCGCGAGAAAGCCCTCGGGGTCGAACGAACCCTTCCCGGGAACCACCTTAAAAGCGGGGAGGGCAGCGGCAGGCGCGCCTCCTTCGGGGGCTCCCCGGGATTCGCTCCTTTTCCTCCTTCCACCCCCGCATCTCCCCGCCCCTCCGCCGCACCGAGGTAGCTCGCTGCAGTCCGCCCTTCTCCAGCCCGACGCAGAGATGCAGGGTCGAGCGGAACCAGCCGGCGCCTGGAACTTACGCTACTCCGCCCGACTTTAAAGCCGCTTCCCAAAATCCTCCCGCCCGGTCTTCTTTCCTCCTCCTCCTCCGCCGCCGCTCCGGCGGAACCCATTCAAATCTATCGGTCCGCAGCAGTCCTACGAGGACGGCGCGACCTACAAACACCCTCCCCTCCACCGCAGGGAGTAACGACGCCCGTTTCCCCTTTCCAGTTTGGAATAGCAACGCAACTTTCCTATTCCGACAACCGTGAGAATGCCGCTCAGCCTGCATCGGCTGCACTCCCGCCGGAACAAAAATAAGATTAAAATAACATAAAATGCTCAAAGCACCGAGTAGAGCCCGCAGCGAGAAGCCGGGTGAGCGAGCAAAATCGATTCCCCCGCGCTCCCTCGTTCGGAGCCCGCGGGGGGAAATGGAGGGCTCGAAAGCGGCTCTCTCTAAGGATTCGGTGGGAAAGACACGCAATGGCTCCCCCGACAAATTCAGATATCCCGCCTCCGAACAGCCTCCCCGCGTATCGGGAGCGAGAGAATGCAAGCGGAGCCCTCGCAAAATCAAGAGCAAAAGCGAGAAAGAAAAAAAACTTACTGGTTCCTCCCAGACCCCGGCCAGAAAAGACAGAGGATCGATTCCGACGATCGGCGTGTGCACGCAGATACACACGCGCGCACGCAACGGCAGGACGATTCCAAGTCGCTTTCCCGGTTTGCTCTTCGCGAATCGATTTAGGTCTCTTCGTCAAGCCGCCCCGAGAAGAAAACGGCACGGCTGCTCCTGGCGCCTCTCTCCGCGCGCTCCTAGACGCAGAAAGCGCGATTGTAAATCCCGCAGATTGAGCCACGGCGTCCCGGTTTATAGGGTGATTTCGCCTTGCTCCGCGTCCCTTTCTGAGTCAAGCCTTTAAAGGACCGGCTTGGGATGGGGTGGAATGAGAAGGGAAGAGCGAGGGAGGCAGGGGCGTGCGTGTGCGAGCGAGCCAGCGAGCGAGTGCGCGCGCTTTATTTATGTCTTTCTTTCGCCGCGAAAGGCGGCGGCGGCGGCTGCTTTGCCCCAGCGCCGATCCCACCCTTCGCGTCGCCTCTGCAAGAAAACGCTGATGAGCCGGCCGCTTCTCCCTTTTTATTAGATCAGCGCCCCGCCCCGCCCACCTCCTTTTCCCGCCAACTCCGCTGCCACTACTTTGCATACGACTGCCTTTGGAGCGCCCTGGGCAAGGCGGCGGAGGGGAGGACGCGCGCGGGTGGGAGGGGGCGCTCAGCGACGGTTAGCCCGGCTTCCCCCCCCCCCCGCTTATCTCGCAAGCCACCCAGCCACCCCGGGGGAGACCGGGGAGCCCGGGCCGGGCGACGGGGCGGGGGGGCCGCGGGGTCCGCGAGCCGAGGAAGGAGAGGGTCCTTGGCGCCGCGCGCGCACCCTGGCGCGCGCGCGCTCTGCACTGCGTTAAGGCGCGGAGGGGCGGCGGCGGCGGCAGCCGCTCGGACGGTTAATTCAGCCCGTTGTGTTGTGTGCGTGTTTTTTTTTTAACCGATCGGCGGAAGTAAACATAGTAAAATACTACGGAGCGGGAGTAGGCGAGAAGCAAGCAGCACTCGCTGCACGGGCTTCTCCCGGGGAGCTGGAGCGGTCTTTCCAGCGACTTTGGGAATCGGCCCCACGGAAAGCAAGTGTGGGGCTGGCCGTGCACCTCCGTCCAGCTCGAAAGGAATCGCTGGATGTTCCCCTTCCCCGCTTCTTTCAGGCGGTGGAAGAGTTTTATGTCGGAGTCGCCCCGGTTTGTTTCTCCCTGGAAAATAAGGTCACTCTGGAAATAATGAAGCCGGCGGGATGCAATGTTGGGGTTTGCTTGAGGGCAGCTATGCAGAGAGCCGCGCTGCAATTCCGGACGTTTGCAGGAATTGCCCCCGTTCTTGCACCCGCTCCCTGTGCGTTTCCTTCCTTATCTGAATTCAGTGGGGCTTGCTTCGAAGGGAACACGCACAGGCACCGGGTGCAAGGCAGGGACTTGCGCCTCATTTGCGGAGGCGAGACCTTCGAGGATCCCTTCTTCCATCCTCTAAGCGCTGGTGCAAGAGGAAGGTGAAAGCGTTCCGCCCCACAAACGACTTGCACTTAAGCCGGTTTAATTCTCTGCAAAAAGCGTGAGAACGCTGTACCCCGCGCCTCTGAATGCTCGCTGGTAACCAAGGCCCGGTGGAGGTCGCTCCCGGAGGAAGTGTGTCGGATTAAAGCTTGTGACCAGGGGCACAGCCTTAAGTGGGCCGGGGATCGCACGCAGCGCCTTCAATGGGGAGGAGACGAGTCAGGAATCTGGCTCCGTCCCCAGGCAATTTGGAGGGCGACGCCAAAAGACCGTGTTCGGGAGGTTACTGGGTTCGAAGCTTACCTAGAGACGCACCTATTTCTAATATCTTTTCCGGGAGCAGGGAGGACGAAGCGAAACAGCCTGTATGAATCGCCTTCAAGACGCTGAAGTTTCTCTGGAGCCAAAGCGCGTAAAGCTGCGATCCTGTCTCTCGCCAGGACTTGCTCCGGTGCAGACCTGTGCGCTCTTAACCTGCGTGTTTCTGGGGTCTCGAGAGCTTCTTCAGGTGTTTTCAAAGCGTATTAGGTAGCCCACAGTGGCACGTGACGCTTTTCCAAAATCCTAAAAGGAGTGATATGTACAGCGGAACTTTTCTCAGTCAACTCTACAAACCGTCCTGCAAGCCATTGCTTTTAATGGCGGCACACGCCCACGTACAACCCGGGAGTAAGTCCCACTGGCGATTGGCCCTTATTCTCCGAGTAAACGCGCGCAAAAACGTGCAATGAACCAGTGCGGGAGACGGAGTTGATTACATAATCAATTGGATCCCCGTTCCGTTGCCTCATTGGGCTGGGCTAGGCCAAAACATAGGGAGAATATTGGTTTTTAAAACTAGCACGATTAAACCGGGTTAGACCCGGTGCAGCCGATCTAAATAAAAGTACTCTTCTTGGAAGTTTTCTCTCATGCTTTTGAAAGGTGTGGATGGGTGAGGGACGGCCCCCGCGGAGATTAGATTTGCAGTGATACACCCTATTGTAGTTTTTTTTTAAAAAAATAAAGCACCTTGATCACTTCAGTTATTCCCCGAACGACCGATTTGCAGTGCAATGCATTCTTTTCCACTCTCCTCCCCTTCAGCTGTTTACCAGTTTAAAAAGTTCCAGCTGATAATCAAGATGACATCAACACTTGCTCAAAAAACCCATTCAGCGGGAGGGAATCCAGCATAACCAACAGGCGTCAACATAGGTGAGACTTTAAAGAACCAATGTATTAGCAAAACGGGTTAAACAGAAAACGCTCCCCAGGCTTCATAGGGAGTAACCCCCCCCCCTGGAAATTCGTACGACGGACTTCCGAGGAAACGAGAGGGACTCGTAAGGGAACCCCAGGCTAAATGCTCGCCCGGTCGTTCCAGCAGCAAAAAAAAAAAAACTAATACATCCCGCCCTGGTTTGCTCAAGGCCCTGCAATGGGTCTAAAAATAAGGCAATTTTTAGTGGGGTCCCCCAGCAAGCTCTATCCGCTTGGCATCCACTCCTTTGCAAGTAACGCGCAAAACCAAAGGCGGCGGCTCGCTCGCTCGCTCGCTCGCGCGAAAGGCACGCCCTGAAAGAGACCTCCACTTGTTACACACCGAAGGGGCTCGCGTTTGCACAAAGATGGTCTCTGGCCCTTCCCGACGTAAAGCCGCGCCGCTTCTCCCCTTCTCCGCCTGCCGGGCTAAAGTAACGTAATCGCGCCCTCTAGTGGCCGGAAAAGCAAGGCGGAGCCACAGCGGGGGAAAGTGCGTGACTCATCCGGTGTGATAAGCGGAGGAGGATTCTTATCAGTGCGCGAATTTTACTCTTTCCAGCTGCAGCCGCCGCTCCGCACAAATGCCTCGGAGGCTTGCTTTGAGTCATAAAAGGGCTATCAGCCCTTTTCCCCGTAAGTGGTTGTCTTTGCCGGTTCGTTGCTCCGCACTCTGCCGTCTACGGGCTTCGTCCCGCGCAGCGCCCAGTTCGGAGAGACTGTCTTTCGGAGTAGCCTAGCCTGGGCCAGCTCTCCAAACGCCGTGGGTCCATCGAGGGTCAACTCCCGCACTCTCGAGGGAGGCCCGCTGTTCCCTCTGACCTGGGATGGAAATCATTGCAAATAAGCCGAATTAGGAAGTGGTGGGAGTAAGCGTGGAGTTACCCAAGGGGGTTCTGCGTTCACCGGCAGTTTGTTTACTTGCAACACTGTCCCCAGGCCGGATGCTGGAAAGGCTTTGTAGAGCTGCTTACCAATCTCATACCAAGGCACAGGTTTATCATCTCATAGCACAAAAGGAAAGGGGATTATGAGGGAGGAGGGGAAAAGCCAAATGCAGGTCCTAGATCCTCACAGTGTCCACTGAGCCCGTTACAAGAGGCACAGAACTCCGTATGTATGCAGAAAGGTGCGGCAGGAGTGTGAATGGGACCACTCCTATTCACAGCAGAGGACCAAATGGAGAACACTTTTGTGTGTTTCCCCATACTCTTTTGTATCCCCTGCAAAGCCCTCCCTTTTCCAACCAAGACTAGAAGGGTGAGGGATATATCACACTGATGTGGAGGAAGAAGAAACAGGCTTGAATTCCCTCCAGCAAAATGTTGTTGTTGTTGTTGTTAACAAGCTGCAGGAGAAAAGAAAGAAAAGGGAAGTAAGCCAGCAAAGAACAGGCCTGCCGAGAAGGACAGCATGGAGAGCAAACCAGGCTTGGCTGACATATTTATTT